GAATTCCTTTAACCTTTGACTACCCGCGCTGGTGAAGCAGCGAATGAAGCGAATAATAATGTAAAATCAATTTTATCGGTTTCTCTTTGTTTATTATCCATTATTATATTCATTTGTGATTATATTCCTAATAAATAGCATGATTCATCAAGACGATGCATCTTCTTATTCCGATACAATAATATGTGTACTCAGTCACACAGTGGTGGTACATGTGGTGTACAGGATACACCGCGCGGCTAGTCAAATTTTATTAAAAATTTTACTCTATTTTACAAGTATACTTCCTTCCCCAGATAACTCTTCAGCCGTTACCGATTCGAAGTTGCTTCGAGTAACGATCTCGAATAAATCGGACAACTCGCGATTTACTGTTTAACCCAGACGTGACCAAACCGTGGCGCATGCGCCAAACGTGGCACGTTGAATGATTGCAAGTGGCGCATTGCATTCTTGCGCCTACTTATTCCTTTTTTTAAGTGCTTCAATAAACGAGTGTCCTTCGATCTCGCGTAAATAAATTAATTTAATTGCGAGATTGAGTTATTCCTTTTTCTCCCCTAAGCGATGCAGATCCTACCCTTATCCCTATTTTCCTAGCCCAACCAATGCAAGGTGAATGCAAGAAAGTCGAAGAGGTGCTCGAGTTGTACGGCGCATCTGAACTTGCCTGTGAACAAAATTGGCGTATGCAAAAAGTTGGCCAGCTCTGGTTTAACCCTTTACGATCGGTGCCAATATGGCGGCATTATCTTTTCCTCTATATCCAGTGTTATTTCAGGATCTTTATTACAAGTACTTATTATTCTCCACCATATATACATTCAACAAAATACATTAACACATTGACTGCCACGAAAACCTTCAGAGTTTTATGTCTCGCTCATTCTTTTGTAGCAAAGATAAAGAGTAACAGTTACTTATTATTTGGTATCCGAATGCTTACGTTACACACTATTATCTAGTAATTTAAGCTATGAAATATTTCCATCCGGCATTAGTTATCTGAGAAATTGTAATTATTATCAAGTAATTTGGAAGCTCCCGTCATCGGTGACCGACGTGGCAGTCAACCTGTTAACTTCAAAGAAGAATCTATATTTCTTCATATCCATATATATTTACTACAAATCTACTATAGAGAAATGACTCTGAAAACATATATTTGCTTCGTCTAGTTGGTACCGGCAGAAAAATGTGCCGATCGTAAAGGATTAAACCCAACGCAACGCGTATGTACGATATCCCGTGTATCGGTTCTGTTTCCATTGGAATAATTGAGAGAGGCACATCGAATGTTTAACGACCTGATCGTAATTCCATAAATTTTTCGATGCGAACGAGTGCCAGGTCGATTAACACATCGTCCGTTAGATTTTCATTGAGATTCCCGCGCAGCGACGATCAGCCGAAACGAGACATTCGTCTATTTTGTTCCAGCGAGGCGTATTGTAAACGTAATAAAATATGCGGAATTTATCGACGCGGCTATCACGCATCCATACATTCATGACCTGAATTTCTGCATAAATTATTATTACATTACCGAGATATGAACGGTCAACTAGAATGTCGTTCCGTTTACAATGTATGCGTACTCCATGTAGGCGCATACATGCTGTACTCCCAGTCTTATCTACCGTTCGAAACAACAAAGCGAAGCGGCCGTATTCTTTCGTTCGAAACTTCTAACGAGATATGTATATTTTATTCGCGAATGTCGTCCGTAAGACAGGATTTTGTGGGCCGTTCATAACCGTCAGCTTTCATTGTAGAAATCAGCCATTGTCTATTTTTTCGAGTTTAGTTTAGCCTTTTTAGAGATTCTTTAGATTATTTAAAGTAGTTTTATTTAGTTCGAGTCTATTTATTCCAGGGGATCCCATAGAATTTCACAGATAACTGTCCTCAAGGATCTTTTTGTGTTTATACTATTTTGTTAGAATAAAGGTGACCTTCATTTTTTAAATGGAATGCTGTATATTTGTTTGTATCACATGAAAGCGTGTGTCTAGACAAATTCATCCGTATACTGCACAGAGACCTTTGAGGTTACGCGAGGTCAGATATGGAAGAAACTTTTTGAACATAGAGAATAATAAGCTCTCGATGGTAAAGTAACACTGTACTCAGAGAAAACGATAATGCCGATTTCGAAGACAAACGTTGAATGCCACAGTGGCGACTTTTTATCAATTCTTCTAAAGAATATGTAACATCGCGAAACATCAAGTTTGTTGTGTTTCTTATACGTATATTTCATTCACTGTTTCTCTTTGAACACGATAAAAGACCACTGCTATTATGACCATAAATAAATTTTTATTCGGAAAATGTTTGAGGAGAACGAGAATTTATTTCACGGGGAAATATAAGTGAACATTTTGAAATATAGATGGAGCGTGTGTAGTTTCGATGAAAAATTGACAATGTTCTAGTTTTACAATATTCTATCGGACGCACGACGGGAATGGTACGTACGCAGACAAATCCTCTGCAGCCTTCAGGAAAACGTTCGTACTTAATGGACGGAACCACGTTATACAAATTACGTAATCTAATTCGAACTAATCCTGTAAGCCGTGGCATGGTTTGCTTTAAATAAAGTTGTTCAGCAAATCGGAATAGGATTTCTGGTGTGTCTCCGATCGATGGACTGTTTTTAAGCGAACCTTTCTATTCCCAAAGCGTCCCACGCGTTCTAGAACTCGAGCACGCCGTAACGAAGTAACTGGATAGCGTTTTAATTAGAAAAGAATCACTTCTTTGTGTTACGATTCTTATAAGAATCGCGTATTGATCGTATTAACACTAGATTTGCGGACGTTTATTCGGTTTATCGTAATGCTCGCTTAAATTTCACAGCTTCGGGTCCCAGTAGTGGAATTTAACCGAGCATAAAAAATAGGAAACTATCTGCTTCCAGGAGTTGACACACAGGCTGGCACAGACAGAAAATCGATATAGTAGGGCGAAAGCGGGATAGAGACGCAGTCGAAGAAAATTTCAGTTGCAGTCATTTAATCTTATCTTCTCAAATGTAGCGGCAGTGAAATTCTGAGATTGTCACGATTAAAATAAGCCCAAACACGATGTGAATCGGACTAGTTTTACCGACATAATGTAATTAACGAAATTAAAGGTTCGTTTCCATGAAATCGATCAAACTAGTCCAATTCCCATCGTGTTTGAACTCATTTTAATCTCTTAATTGAGAATCTCAACGTTCCATCGGTACTACGATTGAGAAGGTAAAATCGAAACGATTGCGATTGAAATATTCTTCATTGCATGTTTATACATCTCTTTGACTTTGAATTTAAGCGAGCATCACTGTATTCTATGAACAGATTCATTTAGGTTTTGGAAATTGAGGATTGAAAAATAGACGATTAAGTTACATATTCGTGCCTTTGGATTAATCAGAATCGACGTGAACATTTGGCAAATACTGTTTATAAACCTAGCATTAAGAGTCGTAAAAAACGGTAGTCCCAGCGTCAACCTTGCAGAAACAAGAATTGATATTGTGTAATGAATTATTTTTCGGCAGTCAAGGTAGGGGAGTCCTCTTAACGAGCCAAGGTTCACCGTCACCGATATTATGGTAATATCCCCGATAATCAATATCAAGTTATTCCAAGGCCTTGCCAACAACGTTTTCTCGCGTTGCATTAACACTAAATTCACGGATGTCTATTGTACAGTTTCTTCTATATGTCTTAGAAAAATTTATATTCGTTCATTTCACACCGCTACGAAACGTTGCGCGGATAATAGAACACACAAATAGCAGAACGGCCGTATATTAGTGTATTCGGATAATGGGAGTACGGACAGGGTAGTCTATTGTATTTCAATTACGTACATATTACGAAATCCACTAATTTAAGAACCTTTTGCTGCGCTTCGACACGTTTCCTTGTGTTCCTCGGTGTTTTACGTAATATATATTACTATGTACATGTAAATAAATGGTAATCAATCGCGTGAATAATTACACGTTTTACTGAGAACTGCACGAACCGATTAGAATTGTCGCAGAAATTCATATAATTCCACTATGAATTGAACACATTGTCAGGTATATTTTTAGATATTCTAATAGCCTTGACTATGCCGTCGTTCGTAAAGAACGACGTGTCATTGACACTACGCGAGTGACTACGCAAAATTGCAGAAATATGCCAAAGTGTCAGCTTCGATTTACGAACTTCCATACGATTCCGTATGCAAATGAGCAGCCAGTGTAAAGACTGTGGAAATAAGAACGCTGTCTGTCAGTGTCCCATTGTGTAACTATTATAATGTCAGTGAAGCTGGGACATCCTTGGAAACAATATAGAATAATCGTGCTGTTAGAGACGTTATTAAGCCATTATGTTACGTTGCTAATAAAGCGGTTGATCATAACATTCGCCGGCTATAGGAGTAATTACGGTTTCTATTTTCGCTCGGTTCTTAAACTATGTCCGACGTTCTTAGCCTTATAAGTCAATGGATACCAGCTGTCGCGAAGCGTTCTTACACTTAATCCGTTGCACTCGAAAGTATTTTACTAGAAATATTCGACGATGTCTGGTGGGGTACGGAAGATCAAACTAATGAGTTTTGCAATTTTTAAGGTGTCATGAATCGTTCAGTTAATTTTGTTAACTGTAGTAGTGCATTATGAAGAAAGATTAAGTGATAGGGAGATAGGTGCGTAACAGCGGATAATTGTGGCATATATCATATCATATATCATATCATGTATCATATTATGTATCATAACATATATCATAACATATATCATAACATATCATGTATCACATCATATCCATATCATAAATATATCACATGATTAATACGATATCAACAATGAAACAACATAAAATAGATCAACAGAGTTTTATAAAGAAAGAAAAGAAAAGAAAAATGAACAAAAAACATTCACCTTTGCATTTCAGTGTCTCAACAAACAACAAACTTCTAATTCCCAATCTCTGTTCTTTTTCTAGACTACTTACAGAGGATGCGGGACCGGTGGACGGTTATTCTGTCTGGCATACCTAATCCCCAAAATCTTCCAGGAGCCAACAGCACCTCCACCACCAAGGTGAGGGATATATAAGTTGACATGTTTCTAATTAATCCCTATTAATAATTAGTCACAAATTAATTAAGTTAGTCAGTGATTTTAAATTACTTAAGATCACTACGGAAAAATTAGGAATCAGTCATTTTGACTGAGCTGGTAATTCTAGTCTCAAGTAAATAAAAATATTGTGTCAATCAATTAAATACTCCAATCACTGAAGATCATTACGGAAAAATGAAGTGTCAGTCGTTTTGACCGACCTGGTAATTCTAGTGTCAAATGAACAAATATTGTGCTAATAATAATGTAACGGTGTTCGCTAGCACGCTCGCAGATCCGGATCCGGGTCCTTATCGCAATCTCTAGTCACAGGAGTGTAGCTCTAGATCTTATCAACTGTTTTTTCCCCCAACTTGCTCAACCCTGAATACTGCAACGAGAAATCTGTTAAATAAAAGAAATAAATGCAAATTTATCTTTAAATAAATAATTTATTATTCATATAATTATTATATGTTTTTAGATAAATTTGCATTTATTTGCAAACTTATATCGCATTAAATGCAAATGGAATGAAAATAAATTTTCGATCACCAGTTAAGATTCCATCAACAATTTATTTTACATTAAAGACTCACCTCCCGTGAACTCAATGAAAAATTAACCCCTCACACTAAAAAATTTCACACTAGAAATATTCGTTTCCTAATAATACATTGAACACTTTTATTGCTAACGACAAACCACACCTGACCCTCGATTTACGCGGAAATCCGTTCCACGTGGATTCTTTTAACGCGGACGAAAATCGCGTAAATAGAGCCTGTCGGTACAAAAGAAAACAAAATATTGAAAAGTTGGTTGAAGTTTTAGAAATATAGATCTATTTCGCATAGCTTAACAAAAGAAATAATAACAACGACATTTTCGAAAACAAACGTATATTTTATTCGCTGTTGCGAAATTCAGATCGCGTAAATTGGAACTTGCGTGTTAAAAGGTCCGCGTAAATCGAGGGTCAGGTGTACTTACCAAACTGAACATAAATATTTATGATACATATTCTTTTCTTTTTCAGGTCATCGACGGACACTTGGTGACCATAAACGAGACTACATATGCTGATGACGATTTAGGAACGGTGATCCGTGTCCGCGTGATCGACATGAAACCAATCAGCGGAAACGAGACGGAGGTAGAGACAACCACTCAGGTCACGGTTTGCGTTACTCCGTCTGCCTCCGGTGAAGAGAAGTGCACCACGTCACCGAGAAGCGTGGAGACCATCGAAGACTTCGACAACGAAATACCGAAGAACCAAGTGGACACCCTTACTGCTTGAAGCACTTAAATTATCTGAGAGTCGCAAAATTGAATCCAGACAGAAAAATGTATTTATTTCAGTCCGATCGACCGCGAGCATTATAAGTAAAAATAAATGTAAAAGTACATGCTACACGTATGTTACCCAAGAAAATAGTCCATAAGTTCTTTTGCGTGCCTTCCAGAAATATTTTTAACGAGAATCGACTATATAATTGCTGTTTAATGGTATACGTATATACCTTTTTTTTATTATATTTATGATATTGTGTTGTATTATGTGGGGAAGTAAATCAATTGTGTAGAATATATAATATTCCATATTGTATAGTTTTATATAGATTTTGAAGCATAAATACTTTGGATTCAATTTTGATGATTCTTATACGGTTAATTATATTACTACTGTATGTTAACAGCGTCGACTATTGTAGTGTGTTAGAAATAGTATATATATATATATATATATATATATATAAATGTGTCTGTGTGTGTATGTGTATATGTATATGTGCATATGTCCATATACCCATATACCCATATACATATATATGCGTACATGCATACATACCTATTTACATATGTTGTCTGATTATGTGGAATACTTTAAGTTATCTATAATGAAGCAACATTGTTATAAAATTTAAAAGTGTTTATTTTTCTGAACGATGAAAACGCAAGCAGTCTTCCTATGTGGCAAATCCTGTACGATTGATCAGCAATGGACTTGTGGATCTATGAGTTCAGAGCAGAACGCCAAAATAAAAACTTTTAAACATTGATAATAGATTATTAATTCTTGTATTCTCGCATTCGTATTTTCGAAAGACAAAATTTCATCGGTGTAGCTTTTTCGACTGAAAACACATTCTTCCTTCCACGCCTTGATCAAAGAATAAATGTCTATTTTTCAAAATCTGAAATTCGTCATTGTTTCGCCATACGACTGCAGATATAATTTATAAATTGCAAAACTTTGAATATTCGACAATGATAAGTATTTATAGACAGAAGTGATAAGCTTTTCCTATTTTATAAAAACTAGCAACAAGTGCTATCAACTACATATATAAGATTTCTCTTCCTTCCTCTTTCTTCTGGAATCTGTTCCTTTTTTGAATTCCCGGAAGATACCAACCAGAATATAGCATATAATGTAAATTTTATACGAGTATTTTACTCTGTTTATACTGTCAACATATTTTATTGATGCTAATAAATCCTTATAGAGCATTTAGAAGTGTAAATAAGTCGAAAGTAGTTTAGCAATTTAAAAAAATGGATAAGTGAAGTTGAATATCGACCAATCTAAAAATGAAATTAACGACCGTTGTAGCTTCCGACTGAGAGATGATCAAAATGAATTATAATAGGTTCTATTTTTGTATTATAACATAATGTATTGTTTCGCGTAAAATTGTTTTCCAATAAAAATGTTAGCATGCTATAAATAAATATTGTTGACACAAAAACGTTGTATTTGTTTATCATTCCAATGGAAATACGTTGCTTAGTCGATTAATGGAATCATTAATTATTAATTAAATCCAGCTCTCCTCAGATTATAAATAATATATACCACTTCCTTATAACATTTATTCAAATATAACTAATATTACTCTTTAAATTTCATTCAATTACTATTAGTTAATAAAAGTCAAGTCTAGATCAACTAATAAGATAAAATATGATATCATTTTTCATAATAAACTTCATTAACCAAAATCATTGTAAAATCTAAAAGTTCATCAGTTACAGCTTTTAATATATTATTTAAACAAATAGCTTTCTTATGCAATTATATTCTTCATTTGGAAACGAGCAACTGGAAAAAAAATTCTTTCCTACACCCTTTAGTTTCAGAGATATTCTAAAAAACATATTTTCAACCCTCAATTTTAAGGAGTGTTTTCACCCCTTCAATATTAATGTTGGCCAATAAGAAAAATACGTGTTAAGTATTTTTTTGAGAACTATATCTCACATAAGTTTCATCAAAATTCTGAAGATTGAAAAGGTTCTCTTGTAAGAATGAGCGCGTTGAGGGTGCAGCCCCTTCTCTTAGGTTCGGAGTGTCTATTACATGAGAGCTCGCGTTCATAGTGACTTTCCCCTCATTGATTAACACTAGATTTACTGACATTACTACTATAGAGTTTGTTCTATTGTTCTTAAAAAAAATGTTATCCGCCCATTTAGATCTTAGAAATTAAAGGTTTAAGAATAGACAATTAAGATACATATTTGCATAACTGCGTTAATAAAAATCGTTTCAAACATTTAGCAAATAATGTTTATAAAATTGAATATGAGTCAAATTGACTGGTCTGTAAATCTAGTGTTAAACTGTGAATTACTAGCGTGAGGGGAGTCAGTTACTAGACATATCTAACCTAAGCAGGCAAAAGTTTAAACTGAAGTTATTAAAAACTAAAAGTTCATATTACAAAATGCCATGAAAATTTTGCAACTAAGTACCTAAGTGTATATTACAAATTGCAGTTAGATATAGCTAAAATTGTTAATTTAATACAGTCTAATAATATTTGTTAAACAAAGTATTTCTGATCTTGAATTTCAACTTTCCCTTTATCTTGTTTATATATATAAATTACGATTTTAAATTTCTTATTAATATATCGATATTAGTAAATATAAGTATACTAAAATCAATTTACACAATAATTATAAACTAGGGACATTTAATTTTATTACATGTGGAGCTTGTTACGTGACGTTGTCAGAAATAAATATGGCGAAAGTCACTGTACAAAGTATATATATGTAGACATTGGAGCTGTCATGTGGACGTGTCTCTTTCAATTTGTTGATAGCTTTAAAGAAAAGTATTCCAAGTAGAAGAGTGCCACGAGTCGCGAGTTTGAAATTATAAAACTGTAAATACGTATAGAAATTGAGAATGCGATGCCAGCACGTAGACGACACGTTGGCTTAGAAGCAAGCCATGATTTCGTGATCACAACCTCAAATAGTCCCTGGCAGGACAGTACCATAAGTCCAACGAAAAACAATGAAAGTGAAGGTTGTAATTTAACGGAGAACGAAAAACAGAAATCGAACACTGTACCGGCGACGATGACGTCGCGTGACAGGACTAATGAGTTTATTAACGCTATCAGGACGATGCAGAGCAGAACTACTGTACGTTCTGCTATCATGCAGAATCCTCGTCGAGCACGTCAATTACAGAGCTACTCGAATTTCATGATGATAGCTAAGAATATTGGGAAAAATATTGCAAGCACTTACACAAAATTAGAAAAGCTTGCTCTATGTAAGATCGCATTGTATGCCCACTATTGTTTTTTAAATTCAGTATATGTTAATAACATATTGCACAGTGGCATAAGAATCAAATTACAGAGATAATGCCCAAAATGAACTGCACAATACAATCTTTCATACATATTTTGCAATTTTTTAAATGTTGAAATCACTTTTTCCTTTAAATTTTATAAGTGACGTCCACTAATTATTTTATTAATGTTTATTTACCATTAAATTTGTTCTATGTCGCTATTTGTAAAATGGAATAATTCGAATATAATTATATCAGTCATACGATAGATCTATTTCATTTGATCTATTTCAAATGTGAAGAAACTTTGAATAATAGTAATCAATGAATATTATTACTTTGAGAAATTTAATAATTGCAACGTATATAAAAAAGGTATTGTTCATTTGTTATACCAATTGTTTTAGTGGCAAAAAGGAAGTCTATATTTAATGATAGACAGATGGAAATTGAAGAATTAACAAACATTATAAAGACAGATCTGAAAAGTTTAAATTATCAAATAGGAAAACTACAGGAACTTGGCAAAGAACAACGAGAAGGACATTGTGCATGTCCAAGTCACCATATGGCTTCGCATTCTTCTTCAATTGTTATGGCCTTACAATCAAAATTAGCGAATATGTCGAATCATTTTAAAAGTGTATTAGAAGTACGCTCAGAGGTAAGAACACTTGCCTCAATATTGTGTGTAAAAGAAAAAACAACTTGAACTTGAATAATATTTCTTTACATATCAGAATATGAGAGAAGAACAAAGCAGAAGACAACAGTTCACTCAGGGTTCTGTATCCACTATGTTACCTCCAAGTGTTGCTGGCAAACAAGGGTCATTATTACTTCAGGAACAAGATTCTCCCTCATCTGTAGCTATAGATTTAGAACCAGCAATGGGACAGTTAACATTGCAGCAAGCTATTCAAGATGACGCTGTAAGTAATATGCTTATCAAAATATAATGTTATATGATCGATATATTATGGTAATATTAAAACAGTCGATTTGTTAGGATGCGTATGTTCAATCCAGAGCAGAAACAATGCAAAGCATTGAATCTACTATTGTTGAACTCGGTGGAATTTTCCAACAATTAGCACACATGGTTAAAGAGCAGGAAGAAATGGTGGAAAGGTAAAAATATTTTTAATAGAAAGAAATCTAATATTAACATCATAATTAAACAATGATTAAAATTTAATGGCTTTAAATTTAAAGAGATTCATGACATTTAATATAATTCCAGG